GGAGGGCAGGGGGGAACAAGGCTCACCTCTGCTGACCCTCACACCCTTTGTTGCCAACAGCACAGAGCAACAGAGAAGGCCCAGTGGGGGACATCAGAGCAGGCTTCTAGCCTGGGGTCAGGGATCGCTCCCAGCCTGACCCTGGCACAACACGCCACCCCCGTGGAGCCCTGTCCCTCACCCACCAGAGACCACACCAGGTACATGCAGCCTCCCCCAGTGCCTAAGTCACATCCCATTTACTCTGCTGTAACAACCAGCTGACACAGACATCTGCTCAACAAACCACTTCGGGGGGAATTTCAAAGCTACCTGCAGTCCAGCACATTTGATCTTAATGGGAGCAGGATGCCTCTGTGCTTACTGCCGTACCTTTTTCCTTTTGCCAATAGCTGGTGGTTGAACTCCATTCATCAATAAACTGCTCAGCTGCTTCGACACAAAATCCTTTCTCAAGTGGACATTGATAAAACCTTTAGAAGAGAAAACCAGCAATTAGTGCTGGGGGTGCAGAAGTCCCTCAAACCACTTTTTGTTTCCTTCCCCCTTGGATTTCTGACAAGAGCATATGAAGTTAGCTTGACAAAAGGAAAGAATTTTTCACCAACAGGACAACAAAGCTGTCACTAGAAGACAATTTCTGTTCCCAGATTACAAGAGCCTGTTTCACACCACTAAAGCCTTTAATGCAGCAGTTCGATGCTGCAAGCTAGTCCACTGATGTAACTCCCTTTTGCACACTGTCACTCAAAAGTGAATTTATAAAAACTTTTTTTTAATGAGAAAATAAATAATCTTGCCAGGGTTTGCAGAATGCAAAAACAGATCCTGCTTTGTCTCTTTTTTTAAACTAATATCCTAAAACATATAGCTTCACCTGGAATAATCCATGCTTGTGGGACGACACTGCTTTACTTCTCCTGCTTCACAGAGCTAATGAATGAGCTTCTGCCCAAGCACGTGAAGGGCTGTGCCATATGATTTTTGTGTTTATGCTGAAGCCCTAAGGAATATGAGCCCTTGTATTTCTTCCTGGGTCATAGGGATAAAACAGATGCAGCAATTAATACCCTCCATGCTATTCCAGTATCTCAGTGCTGAGAGGACAAGGTCTCCTCACCATGCAAGCAACAGTGAGAAAGGCATATCGATTTTTGCTGTGATTTCAGGATTGTGGCCTGATACCCATCACCAATATTCAAAGGGGAAAAGCTAGTCCCTTAACGATTAGTGGAAAGATTGCTAATTAAAGGGCTCAGGATTGCACTTGCCAATTCTAATGCAGAAGTAGATTTTCTGCTGCAGCACAAGTCCGAGAGCTACAAAGCTCTCAGACAGAAGCAGCTAACTCACTCTGTAACTGCAGTTTTAAATCACAAAACAGTTGAAATCAACTCGGCTTCCCTGATCACCATCCAGTATAAAATCACACCATGAGCTTTACAATATACAAAGTGTGTTAACATGAAACTATCTTACCAGGACCGGCAATTTCAACCTTCTCAATGCATTCGTTGGCAGGAATATTTTTTGTTATTTTCTCAGCGATTTCTCTTGGGCTAACCTTCTGTTCCTTGGTTTTGAGCAGTATCTGAAACATGACAAGAAGATCAAGTAAAATTCAATCCTCCAAAACATTCTACAGAGTGAAACAGAAAGCATAGATACTGCGGCACTGAAAGATCCTCACGATCCTTTAACTTAGTAATGCAGAGACACACACAAAGAAAAACATCTCTAGCAAATTTTACAGATTAGATCAGCTTTCTCTACACAGCAGAATTCTAACTAGACCCAACACGTTCACTTCCTTCTGGTAAGGGCAATTAAAGGGTAATCCCTATGTCAGAAGAAAATCTTCCAGGCTATTTTTCAAAACTTGTTAAGTGGTTTGGCAAATTTATATTTCTCCAAGCCAGTAAAAGGGACAAACTCTTTCCAAATCAACATAGCGGGCACAGTCCTTCACACTGCTTCAAAGTCCTGTTCATCAGTCTCACGGGTATCCTCAGCTCTGCCAGCATTCATATTTGAAGTTTTGAACTTTGCCTACGGTAGATGCTGAGTGTGGTTTCAGAGCAAGTCTGCTGATCAAAAGCAACCAAAGCAAACTGCTTTCAGTACTACCTTAGACTCAAACTTAACAAATAAGTGCATAAATAAATAAAATCCAACAACCCAAGCAACCAAAGCTAATCCTAACACTGCCCAATTTTCTTCAAAGAGCATCAGAAAAACTGCTGGTAAAGGAGCTCTCGTTTTCACTCCAGACATAAATGGCCCACTGTGTGGAAATCAGAGAACACGACGCAAGTTCACAAACAATGACAGCATCAGTATGGTTTGGGTTGGAAGGGACCTTCAAAGATCACCTAGTCCAACTCCACAATTTCTCTGTCCACTCCCAAAGCATCTCCTCACACAGCTTTTTGCAAATCTTAGAAAAACACCCTTTAGGAGGATTCTGAGAGCTAGGCCAATCCGTCCCTTGCAAAACACTACACTCACATTGTATAAAATTACCGCAACTATTTGTTTCTGAGCACATGATTTTCCATTCTTACTGTGACGTGTTTGAAAATAATCTATCACCTCACTCCATCAAGGCCATAAAAAGCATGTACCTCTTTCTCAACTCAGAATTTACACTCAGTACTGCTTGTATTTGCTAACTTGCAGTCTGCTGCAAAATGTGACTTCTACTTAAGTTTCAGCTTTCTGTTTAACCTGTCATACAGTTGATCGTAACAGGACCCTTACAAGATGGTAAAGGCTTAGAACAGGCAAGAAAAGAAAACCTCTCTTGCCTTTAATACTATTCAAAGTGCAAACTACAGGAAAAATAAATGCAAAACCAGATCACGGGCACGTTATACCAGATTACAGGCATGCTATCTGAATCATTGCAGAAACAGTCACCGTACTCCTATTACTCCAAGGAGCAAGCAGAGCTCCTGGCTCAAATCCCAGGCATTAATATGCTAACGAGCTCCCAGGAAAACAATATGCATTTGTGAGGGATGTTTCCCCACGGAGGCATTGCAGGGAGAGGTTGCTGCCTGGCACGTACTAGTGCTGCCAGCGAGTCAGGGCGCTTCCTGCTCCTCTGGCAGTCGCGGTGACCCCTGTTCCAGCTTTGCGCAGGGACACCCCAGGGGAGCAAGGCTCTACGGGCAGCCGTGCACCATAGTCAAGGTCCCTAAAACTGAGGCTAACGTAAAGTACATAACCTGCTGCTCTGGGAGGGAAATGACTGCACTGCATCCCCTGGCTCTGCTGTGCTGATACATTCTGAGTGGGCTGCATGTGTGACTATTGCCGAGCTCAGGCCCGGCTTGTACGGTGTGCCTTTCCAGGGAACAAACTCTATAGCCAAGCCCAGTACTAGGAACCAGTATTCACCAGTACAGCTGACAATTTGGAACCTGAAATCCTGGCTTGAAGGGAACCGTTCAGACACTGAGTTATGCAAACGACACTGACACTGAGAAGCCAGGACTGCTTGAGAATCCCAACTGTGACTTAATTGGGGTAAAGCAGCGGTCAAAAAAATGGCAAAGCTCTGAAAGCCCCTGTCAGTGCAGTCACCCAGGGTGCTCCTCTGGCTGGAGCCCAGTCACAATATGCTAATGAGACCAAGGGAAGACGACACGTATTTGTGAGGGCTGTTTCAGCCTTGGCACTTCAGACCAAGAGCCTGCTGGCTGGCACGTATCGATGCTGCCCGGGAGTCAAACTCATCATAGCAGGACCACAGACATAGCGGCTGCAGATGACAACCTGAGAGAGTACAATTCCACACATGGTAGTGCCAAGTTCAATGTCAAAATTACCAGTCTAATAGAATAATAAAGGTGAATTGACAACAGAACACTTGGAGGAAAAAAAAGTTGCTTCTGTTGAGATTGCAAAATAAAAGATCTGTAATTACAAAGAGTCAACCTATTCCCTCAAAGGCATCAACGCACTGAAAGTTTGGGTGCTTTAGCATGTAAGTTAGAATGCACTACCTTCTTTCTCCTCCACCTCCTAGTTTTACTTCAGCACAGTCCCAGCCCACTGAGTAACTCCTGAACTGTCTCTTATTCTGTTTGTGTCCTCTTTGGTCAAATATCTTCCAGAAAGCAGCAATGTCATAATTTTCAAAGAAACTGTTGATACTAGCCAGGTTAAAAAACCCCACTCCTTCCCTTGTACACATTTACCAGGTGTTCTGTAAAGTGGAACCATAGTTACAATTGCCTGAAAACGTCCAAGATCAGGACATCAGAACAAAACCCCCCATGTTTCCTGCCCTTCGCTCGTTTAGAAGAAAATGCAGATGTCACCAATCATAGATGAGGGGATGCCCACACAGTCTCCCCTCAGCAAATCCTTGGATAACAACAGCCAGTAAGATAGGAACAAGAGCACAAAAGTGTGTGGAATAGCGCACTCAAATTCATCTGAAAGAGCATTTGTCACCAAACTGAAAATGCTTACAGAAATAAAACAACAATCAGCCAAATCCAGCCGTAACAAGGGAATCAACAAGAGACTTCTGAAACAAAGGAGTCAGCTACAGAAGTATGAAGGACGGTGCCTGAGCAGTAGTCTACACCCAGGCGGACACTGTGAGAAGGTGCCTCAGGCACCACAGCCTCTGCGCAGGCCCGGCAATGACCCGCAGCACTGGATGGCCCATGCCATCGCAGTGGGCAGTCTGGGATGCAGCAGACAGGGACCCGCACCCCAGCCGTGCGCGCAGGGGAGTGCCTGGGCCCCATCTCACCGCCACGCGTGTTTGTGGGTGGTAGGAAGCTGCAGCACCCACACCAACAGGAGGTGTGGGCAACAAGGGGAACCCGCACTCCCAGAGGTGGGGCATATGGTTGTAACTGCTCTGTGAGAAGGGGGGGTGTGTGCACAAAACTCTGTGCAAATGTGTGTAGAGGCATTATGCTTTCCTGGTGTTACAGGAGAGCATTTAGAGATTTGTAGGTGTTTAACAACATTTTGTAACTGTCCAGAATTGTGATTTATTGTTTTGCTGATATTAGTTCCAAACATATAGCTCACTAATTAGTAGTTAATTGCACATCGTTAGTAAATCAATGTAGCACTTAAATCCTGATTTGATTTAGATCCCACGAACTGAGCAGTTTTCCTGTGTGATAGACGTGTAACTCACATCAGCCATCTAAACAGAGGTTTAAAGATCTACTCTGTGAAGGCCAATGCTTCCCCTAAAATGCCGTTAGATACTCACTGAATTCTTAGCCTGGAGGCCTGCAACAAGTCTGAAACAGGTCCAATATTGCAACTCTCACTGCACTGTCTATCACTTAGCTTCCAACAGACAACATCCCCATTTTTTCTTCTCTTTGTAAGATCGTTCAGATTTACCTGTGTTATGCCCATGGCGCTGTTACACTGGTAATCCCCAAATTTGGGCTGTTGACTTGGCGTCACCACTAGTGGAGGGTTTTCTAAATCTGGGTAGGCAGCCTGAATAGCAGCTCCAAAGATCTCCTGAAGACAGTTGTTGATATTAATCATGCTTTTTGTTGTTTTACTTCTTTCCTCTTGAAGGCTCTGAAAAAAACAGAATCCAGAAGGCTAAATTCACAACACCTGCAGAGCTGTTATATCCCACTTTTTTCCTTGGCTGCTTGGCAAAGCACAGCTGACAGATTTGGCTGGCACCTCTAGGCACAGGAGCAACATATACAACATAAAAATCATGTCACTCAAGAGCTGCTTCTCCCTTTGAACCTCCCTGCACAAACACTTCCCCTGAAGCTAGGACTGCATTACTTCTCAAATTTTTGTCAGCAATCCTGGTAGAGAACTCAGCTGGGCTGCCCATAACATGACTAGCCGAGACTTGATTGTGTGGGCTTATTAGCCTGCTGACATTTTTCATAAAGTAGGTTTCTGTTTAAGAAACCAAGAAATATCTGATGTGCCACCAACAATAAAGGCATCAGAATGCAGAGTGAGCACGCTGTCACACATCACTAGCTGTAACAAACTGACATCATTTATTTAGCTTGTTTTAATGAGAACAAAACCCACATGCTACAGCATTAATTCTGTATTCCCTTACCTTTTGAAGGAAATTTAACCGATACTTAAGTTTTGCGTTTTCGTCTCGCAACCCTTCCAAACTCGGGGAGACTCCCAAGCATCCAAAGTTCTTCAGATGCTCAATTTCTGCAGTTAACAACTTGATCTCGTTTTCCTGAAAAGCAAATTAGATTGTCACACAGTAATTCCTGGAGTGGGGGGACAGAAGGAGAGTAGCCACAAGATCTCAGATACAGTTCTAGATTTGCCTCATAAAGCTAACCGTAATGACATGTAACTTGAGTAATTCCGAACAATTAATGTTTAAAAGAGGTTTCTATTTGTGTCAAAAACAGGGATTCTGAAACAGTCTCAAAAAAAGTCAGTGACATAGTAATCTTGCTAATATCAAGATAGAAGTGCAAGGTCATGCTAATAAAACATATTCCCAAAATAAGCACTTTCTCCAGCTTTTTTAATCTAATAAAGATGTCAAATGATTTGACTCAAAATTCCCTAAAGCTTCCTTCAGCCAGTTTCACCACCTGATAGGCCACCATTTCCCTTCCGGAGAATGAAATCACAGTCACTCACACAACCGCAGCAAGCTCAAATGTCAACTATAGACAGAAATGCAAAGTACAGCGTGCTGCTTCAGAGGGGAACCCATAGGGCAATTTTTGCAGCATGCACTCACTTCCACCCCACCACACTACTTTTCCTTCCCTACCTCCAGCGTGGCTTCTCCCTTAAAACTGACAGAAGGCATTCAGGAGCAATTAGGAATTACAGGTGGACCTCTATGGTCCAAATAAACAAACTTCCCAGGGCCCTTCCAGACTTCCCAGCGAAATCCTTCAACAAGCAGTCTTAGCCCTATGGCTGGAACCTGCTGCAAGGAACAGTCATTTTCCTCAGCCCACACCCGAAAGAACCCAAATATCTGAAACGTCACCTCTGTTGTCCTCCCCCGTAACAGGCTTTGTGCCCATCAGCCACAAACCTGGCTCACAAAGAGAAGTCTGGAGGCTACTGAAACTTTAAGTGACTGAATGTCGCTATAGAGGGAGAGGCAGCTAGAAGAGGCAGCGAGCACTCCCCACCCTGGCTTCCCAGCCCCTCATCTGACTCATTTAGGCTCTTTTCTACCAGAACTCCCGCAGCAGGAGGCACCTTAGGCTATTACTGTAGTCAAATAGGCCACTAAACCTTATCAAAAAGGGCTCATTTACTTTGTTGCTCTTGAAACAATCAGAATATTTAATTAATGAAAAAAATTGGACCATCGTATCTTCTGGTCTTACATATGCACCTGAACAACAGCTCCCACAAATGCCACTGTAACTAACTGCAGATGCTCAAAAACCCTAACCTGAGCCAAAACAATCTTATGTGTGGACCAAGCTGAAAATGAGTACTTTTTAGGTCATTCTTCATTTACGCTTCAGCTTCCAGCACACTACTTTTACAGCCTCAGGGTCTCCTCTGCTACATGAGGACGGAATGTTTCCTGCAGGTTCATATGTGAAGAAACAGGACTTTAGGAACAAAACCCTTTATCAAAATTTCTGGTTTGGCATTTAGCCAACTAAAACCATTGAATAGCACAGCGGTCCTCAAAAACAACTCACTTGAAATAGTTCACTGCAGCTTTTCCTTTTGCAGTCTATTACTTCTTTTTTCAATCCAACACAGACCCCCCCAAAAATAAGGCTGTTTTTCTCTCATGTACATACTCCCTCTTTCCCCCATATAACCAATGGAAAACTTTTTTTTTTTTTTAATTTTTGACTTTTCTACTGGCCTGACCTGGTAGCATTTCATATACCTTACAGACTCATGTGAAAAATTTCAGATTGCACTTTAAGTTTAAAACAGCACAAGAGAGATTTCATTGCACTGTTTTACAGTTGTTTCACTGTAAGTTTAAGTAAACATTATTGCTAGAAACTGACTTAAAGGAACATCGGAGTAGTGACATGCATAACTCATTCCCCCAAACCCTAGAATGTGCTTTAAGAAAAGCACAAAGATATCTTAGATGCTTAGTATCACATTATCTGTAAATTCTGTGTCCACCCTGTATTATCTTCTCTCTAGCAAAGTCACTAGTTTCAGGACAGGCTAGCAAGATCCTTAGGAGTGCTTTTGTTGAGGACAAACACTGTCCAGATCCAGAAATCTGCATTCTGCTTTTGAAATTACAATCACTACATACCCAAGCAAGCAAGCAGCTCACATGTATTCCTCCTGCATTAAAAGATTCCCCCAAAGCTATAGCCAGTGAGATATTTCAGTACCATTGGCAAAATTTTCAGAACACAAATTCGATTTGGATTTTCCTCCAGAATGACAAATGCCTCTGGCCACCCGAGTTAAGACTTGTAGCAGGTGAGATGACCAGTATCTTACTGGTGCTTCTTTCCATATTGTTATACTACCAGAGAGGATGAGGAAAGAGATCTGCACGGCCAGAACCCAGAACAAGGGTTCTCAGGAATCACTGACCCCTGGGGCAGACATTTGGCCCAAACAGCTTTTCCCCCACAAATACAAGGTCACAATTAGTATCCTAATTGCTTGGATTTGGTCAGGAGGCTAAAAAGCTCAAACAATGCCACAGTTCAATAAGTCTCATCTACTTTCCCATGACTGCACCAAAACAGCAAATTCACAGCACAGACACCTGCAGATAGGAGGTATTCAGGTTGGCCCCATTTCAGATTTGACCAAGACCAACGTGTCAGCCCAGACTGTCACATTTTCCTATTGTGTTTTGTGCTCCTCTTCTTCAGAAAGTTTCGGAGGCTGTCCTTACGTTACTTGAGTGTGAACTGAAAGCAAAAGGTTTCACCATGGTGGCCTAGCTGCCTACCCCAATATTGCTGCTACCATTTAAGTCTCCTGTTTTGTCTCATGAACAGCTAATAGAGATGACGAAATTAACCTTTCGTTCAAAACCACCCAGCAGAAAAGCCTGAACTCAGCAATGATTACACTGAGTTCCAGAATCAATGGGATTAACCCATCACAACAGTTAGGCTGGGACAGCCACACAGCTGAGTACAGCTAACAGCTCCAAAACTGGTAACAAGGGCACCCTGGTTCATAGGCCAGTCAGGAGGGTACGGTACCCACGACCCTCCTCTCTCTGGTGACCAGCAATAGGACACGAGGAAATGAAATGAAGATGCGTCAGTAGAAGTTCGGATTGGACATCAGGAAAAGGTTCTTCACTGAGAGGGTGGCGGGTCACTGGAACAGGCTCCCCACGGAAGCGGTCATGGCATTAAGGCTGTCAGAGTTCAAGGAGCATCTGGATGACACTCTTAGTCACATGGCTTAGCTTTAGGTAGTCCTGCGAGGAGCAGGGAGTTGGACTTGATGACCCTTATGGGTCCCTTCCAACTTGAGATATGCAATGATTCTATGACCCCCACACCCCTAACCATATTGCTGAGCTCACCTGGAAAGAGGTCTTTAGATGTTCGCAAGTTATAAATGTCCCTTATCACAGCAACCCATGATAAAGCTAATTCTCTAGGTATTATTAAAGACGTCTTATAAATTCTACGTTCTTTCTGAAAAACAAACTACTACATTAAACTACAGACATCCAACTGAAGATTGGAGACAGTGTCAATAAGCCTCTGATCTACAAAATATGTAACTGAGAAAAGGAAGCAAAAAGCTGCTGTTCAGGACATGAAGTGTCACCCCCTGGATTATTCTACCTGCACAGCCCTGGACATATCACAACTTGTCAGTAAAGGGTCATACCTGATGACCACCTCATGAGAAGCTGCGGGAATTACATAAGACCATGCTGACATCTCCAAGGGCTCTCTGCTCAGCTGAGTACTAGAAATCTTCCCCTCACCTGTGAACACAAAAAACTACAGCTTTTTCAATAGGGCCAAAATCATGATTACGTTTTCCCTTAGCGCATAAGGATGTCTTCCCAAGACCCTACTGAATTAACATTACACTCACACAGGCTTCTGTCTCTAGGTTTTAACATGACAGGGCAAATGGCCTGAGAAAACATGGCAAAGGGAGCAGAACACCTCTCTTCCTTCCCCTCCTTGCCTCATGCATGCTTTTATCTCCGCTCCTATTCTGCCAGCCTTTGCCAAGCTGGCTCAGTGCAATAACTCGGCACACACTCCTTGCTCTTTGTTGGGTTACTTTCCCGAAGAGCTAATGATGCCTGCCAGCTGGCTCATAATGGGCTCCAGGGCATGCTGGCGCTAGCACCATGGAGCACGGTCAGAGGTAGATTCAGGCTCAGCAACTCCACATGGCCTCCTTCAGCCTCCTGGGGTTAAAGTTGACCACTACCCCTGTTGCTTTGCTTCAGCATGACTGGCGTCTGTTTCTGGACTAAAGACCAGAGAGCAGTGATGGCAAAAGGAGAACCACCTTTCCAGAATACCCAAGATGCCCTTCCTCTCCGAGCAGCTACAAAGGAGAAACACAAAAGCAAGGGCAAAAAGGACCTGCATAGATTCAACAGCCAGATTTATTATCTCAGCATTTTACAGCAGTCTTTATGTTTGAATTGTGAGTAGAAAATGTACTGAAGAGTTGCTTAAGAGCACATGTATATGGTAGGCAAAAAACCACAAGCCAAATGTCCAGAATCTCTCAGTTACATACTCTTGGGGCAACATATGAGAAGTTAACTTGTATGATTCAAAGTCTTCCTGAAGCTGTTTCTGCACTCTGTATCAGCCATTGACATCAGACCTTGCAGTCTGATTATTTTTTTATTATTGTTGTTATAATCACTGTATTTTTCCCAATCATAAGCATCTAATGGCTGCAATAATCCCGTCTGAGAAAGCCAGAACTGCCAGTAGCATACCTGCCCTCCAACAGGTCCTCAGAAAGCGCTTCCCTGACTGCTCTGGGCTCCCAGGACCTGTCCCTCCCGAGTACAGGACACCCTCCTGCCCATCGCCTCACCTGGCAGCACGGCGATCCTTGCACGGCCACCACAGCGAGCAAGCAGCCTG